AATTCTGACTTTGCTATGACAATCTGGAGCTTCTGAATCAGCTACTGTTTTGTTATTAGTTTAAGTATTTGCTATTGACTGTTCAAATGCGGAGTTTTGTGCATCGTGTGTGTGTGTGTGCTCGAGCGAGCGAGAGAGAGAGAGAGAGAGAAAGAGAGAGAGAGCACGAGAGAGAGAGAGAGAGAAAGAGATCAACATCAACTGAGAGTCAACACCTGACATCTGAAACACTACACTGTCAATACAGTCCTAATGTGCACCAGAGAGCTGCGCACTACAACAACACAATTATATAATGTATTAATATAAATAATTGTACAAGTTAGGGCTGCACAATTAATCGAATTTCTATTTCTAAAATAATTATGGATGCCACGATTACGTAATCGTTCAAAGCGGCAATTAATCGTTCAAAGTCCACTTATGTTATTCTGCACGCTTAAGATATGTTTTTTTTCTTCTACATGTTATCTTAAGGGTAATTCTATAAGTAATTATTTTATATAAGAATATTTTATAAATAGTAATATTTTTTTATTAATAATAACATTTTTTATATATTTTATATAAGTAAAATGTGTTTATTTTTTAATTTAAATTTAATTTAAAACTTGTATTAGGGCTGCACGATTATGACAAAAATCATAACTGTCGATTATTCCCTTGAAATTGTAATTGCGATTATTAATTACGATTATCACAATTTACACTGAATGATGTTTATACCATTGTTTGATGCAACTGCATGCCGTATTTTTATATGAAAATAAACCAGCTGAAAAACCTTTAGTGCTTTTCTACAGTATTAAACCTAAAATGTCAAATATACATCAGATTGGTTTCTTCTTTAAATTATAAAAAAAAGAAAAATATGAATGGTATTATAATGTTATACTAAAACTAAAACAATGGAAAAACCCTTAAGATAACATGTAGAAAGAAAAAAACATATCTTAAGCGTGCAGAATAACATAAGTGGACTTTGAACGATTAATTGCCGCTTTGAACGATTACGTAAATGTGGCATCCATAATTGTAATCGCGATACACAAACACACACACTTATTATTACATTCTGTTTTAATTGCTACATTAATTAAGATTAAATTAATTATCAGAAATCATGTCCAATTAATTGAAATCATTAGATATATTCAATCTTAACAATTTATTCAAATAAAATATAACTAAAACGACATTTTTAGGCACTATGAAGTCTTATTTTTTCCCAAATACAGTTTTATCTTTTCTTTTCTTTCTTTTATCTTTTTCACATTGAATTCATAAAACCTTAACAATATAGTTGTAATATTTTAATATTTCATATTAATTTTATTGTTTACTTTAATTGCCGCTTTGAACGATTACGTAAATGTGGCATCCATAATTGTAATCGCGATTAGAAATTCGATTAATTGTGCGGCCCTAATACACAAACACACACACTTATTATTACATTCTGTTTTAATTGCTACATTAATTAAAATTAAATTAATTATCAGAAATCATGTCCAATTAATTGAAATCATTAGATATATTCAATCTTAACAATTTATTCAAATAAAATATAACTAAAACGACATTTTTAGGCACTATGAAGTCTTATTTTTTCCCAAATACAGTTTTATCTTTTCTTTTCTTTCTTTTATCTTTTTCACATTGAATTCATAAAACCTTAACAATATAGTTGTAATATTTTAATATTTCATATTAATTTTATTGTTTACTTGTTTTTTTTTACAATATAAGGGCCCTATAGATTGCTGTTTGTTTGTTTGTTTATTTATTTATTTAGAAATTATCTGTTATTTTTGGGGAAAAGTTGTAATCAAATGAAGGCATAAAACATTACATTTCAATAATTTTCCATTTTAATAATTTTCATCAAATAAAAATGTAACGCTTCCTTTGCTGCACAATAGAGGCTTACTGTTAGACTTGAAGAAAAAAAATGTCTGATATTCCTTAAAAAATAACGTTTTAATAACTGAATTTAATAATTATTTAACTTAATTTAATAATTTTCTTACATACTTTATTATGAATAACATTAGATTACATTGAAGTTACAGTGAAAGTACATTCTGCTGTACAATAGTAACACATTTCTGTCGTAACTGCTTCATAACCAAACGTTTATTTTGGCGGGATGTAGTGATAGTTTTCTCCACCAGGTTCCATCACGTTCCATAATTCCGTTGCAGTAAATTCCATGTTTATGACCGGATTCCACGATTCGGTCCGTGTTTTCAGACGCCCACATTTACATCTCAACGACATTCACGCCATAAAGAGCTCAGCCAATCAGAACAGAGGTCGGGGCAGACAGGACTCTTAAAGGTACAGTATCCGTGAGAACAGCAGCGCTTTCCCATCCCGCATTCAGACGGCATTTTATTCCAGCGACGTCACTGACTGCAGGGAGGCGCGCCCTTCTCTCAGTCACTGCGTATGCAACCACTCAATAACAGCGGCTCCATTAGTTACATAAGCTGGTATTTTTCAGCAGGGTAATAAAAGCAAGCGTCTAACGAGCTGCAGACACCAGACGCGGATCACGCCTGAGCGACTGACCTTTGGGCGGATTTAACGGATGAAAATAACACCGGGACCAGAGCGGGAACAACCGCAGACATTTTCTGTCCTCGCTGAGAGAACTACTACAGCATGAAGGCTGCCATGTTTTTACCACAAAATACAAAATCAACATCGCTGATATAGCTTAATAATAATAATACATTTAACCGTTGGAGTAGTTTATACTGCTGCTCAAAGGTTTGAAATAATAACAATTTTTAGAGAAAAAAAATTTCAGCATCAGTGACAGAGCATAATAATAATAATAAATAATAATAATAATTATTATTATTAAATAAATAAACAAATGTATATATATATATATATTATTAATTTATTTACACACACACATTATATATATATATATATATATATATAATCTGGAATATTTTATATTACTGGTCAAAGGTTTGACTTCATTTCAACTTTTAGAATGTTTTGAGAAAAAAATCAGCATCGGTGATAGAGCTTAATAACATATTAAAATAATAATGTTATATAATATATATATAATAATACTAATTTAACCTGAAATATTTTACAGTGCTGGTCAAGGGTTCGGACTGTCCAAACATGAAATTTCCATATTGTCTTTTTATGGATTTATGATTTAGTACAAATTCAAAAACGGTGTTAATCAATTGAACAATAACGCATTTAATTTAATATTTAATTTAATTTTTAAATGTAAGCAAATAAAAGTTTGTTGGAAAACAAAGTGCGGAACAATAGACGTTTACTGTTAAAATAAAAACAAGGGAAGAAAAACTGTGCAATATTGCTTAAAAAATAAAGTTTTAATAGTTTTATTTGTAGTAGTGTTACTGTACACTAGTAATATTTTTATTATTATTATGGTACACTAGTAATATAAATACATTTAACCTGCAACATTCTACACTACTAGTCAAAGTTCTGAATAATTGCATTTTTTTGAAAAGTTTTCTATGTGAATATCTGTTAAACTGTAATGTATTCCTGTGATGTGCAGCTGTATTTTCAGCATCATTACTCCAGTCTTCAGTGTCACATGATCTTCAGAAATCAGTATAATATGCTGATCTGCTGCTCGAGAAACATTTCTGATTATTATCAATGTTGAACACAGTCGTGCTGCACAATATTTTTGTGGAAACTGTGATACATTGTATTATTCAGGATTCACCGATGAATAGAAAGTTAGAAAGAACAGCATTTATTTGAAACAGAAAGCCAACATCATGACAGTGTTTACCTGAAGAAGCCCTTGCAGCCCTCGCAGGTCATGGCGTTGAAGTGGAAGCCGGTGGCCTTGTCTCCACACACTCCACAGATCCGCGGATATATATAATCTGGAATATTTTATATTACTGGTCAAAGGTTTGACTTCATTTCAACTTTTAGAATGTTTTGAGAAAAAAATCAGCATCGGTGATAGAGCTTAATAACATATTAAAATAATAATGTTATATAATATATATATAATAATACTAATTTAACCTGAAATATTTTACAGTGCTGGTCAAGGGTTCGGACTGTCCAAACATGAAATTTCCATATTGTCTTTTTATGGATTTATGATTTAGTACAAATTCAAAAACGGTGTTAATCAATTGAACAATAACGCATTTAATTTAATATTTAATTTAATTTTTAAATGTAAGCAAATAAAAGTTTGTTGGAAAACAAAGTGCGGAACAATAGACGTTTACTGTTAAAATAAAAACAAGGGAAGAAAAACTGTGCAATATTGCTTAAAAAATAAAGTTTTAATAGTTTTATTTGTAGTAGTGTTACTGTACACTAGTAATATTTTTATTATTATTATGGTACACTAGTAATATAAATACATTTAACCTGCAACATTCTACACTACTAGTCAAAGTTCTGAATAATTGCATTTTTTTGAAAAGTTTTCTATGTGAATATCTGTTAAACTGTAATGTATTTCTGTGATGTGCAGCTGTATTTTCAGCATCATTCCTCCAGTCTTCAGTGTCACATGATCTTCAGAAATCAGTATAATATGCTGATCTGCTGCTCGAGAAACATTTCTGATTATTATCAATGTTGAACACAGTCGTGCTGCACAATATTTTTGTGGAAACTGTGATACATTGTATTATTCAGGATTCACCGATGAATAGAAAGTTAGAAAGAACAGCATTTATTTGAAACAGAAAGCCAACATCATGACAGTGTTTACCTGAAGAAGCCCTTGCAGCCCTCGCAGGTCATGGCGTTGAAGTGGAAGCCGGTGGCCTTGTCTCCACACACTCCACAGATCCGCGGCGCGTTGCGGTCAAACTCATCCTGACCCGTCGCAGACGTGCTCACGGCCATGAGATCCATCACTGAAACACGGACAGAGCGAGAGGCGCGTCAGACAACCACGAGAGCCCGAACACATTTACATAAATCACTTACATTTATGCATTTAGCAGCTGCTTTTATCCACTGAAAAACATCAGCTCAATACCCCCACCCCCCTCTATTCTATTCCATCCAAGGCATTTGCACGAATTTAAGGAATAGCTCACCCAAAAATGAATGTTTGCTGCAAATATCCTCACCTTCAGGCCATCCCAGATTAGGATGAGTTTATTTCTACATCAGATTTGGAGAAATGCAGCATTGCATTAGAGTCTCACCAACCCAAGGATGTGAATGGGTGCCGTCAGAACGAGAGTCTGATAAAAACATCACAGTAATCCACAGCACTCCAGTCCATCAGTTAACATCTGGAGAAGACAAAAGCTGAAACACATCCAGCATTAAGACGCTTTTAACTCAAATATACGAGTCCATAATAACGCTTCCTTCAGTGAAAAAGTGCATCTCGCATCAAAATACAGCCACATATTTGTTTAAACGCTGCTTGATCTGTGCAGATTTCTCTCCTGATTCACACCAGAACACTATTTCACCGGAGGAAGCGTTATTATGGATTATGGACTCATATATTTGAGTTAAAAGCGTCTTAATGCTGGATTTGTTTCAGCTTTTGTCTTCTCCAGATGTTAACTGATGGACTGGAGTGCTGTGGATTACTGTGATGTTTTTATCAGACTCTCATTCTGACGGCACCCATTCACATCCATTGGTGAGACAGTGTTGCAATGCTGCATTTCTCCAAATCTGATGAAGAATCAAACTCATCCTAATCTTGGATGAACTGAGGGTGAAGAGATTTACAGAAAATGTTCATGTTTGGCTGATCTATTACTTTAACTCTCCCATCTGTCGCTAATGGTGTGGATTACACCAGGATTCACACCTGTGTGTGCGGGAATAATGAATGTTCAGCGAGCGAAGATACGGTTACAGAAGTGCGTTGCATAATGAAAATAGCATCTACAGGTCAAAGGCCACCGAGAGCAGAGGGAAAGAAACAAAGCATGCAGCGGATCTGGTTTCCATGAATACTCACGCTGAAAGCATTTCTAGCAGCTATGATAATAATAATAATAATAATATGTGTGTGTTATTCTGCAGGTCGTTCCTGGAAGCGATCAGCTTGTTTTGTACAGCGAGAGGACAAACAGCGGTGAAGAGCAAGACCTGAATACACATCAGCATGCACAAACACACACATGTGATGCTGCTGTGCATGTGAACACATGTGTGTGTGTGTGTGTGTGTGTGTGTGTGTGTGTGTGTGTTTACTTTAACTCTCCCATCTGTCGCTAATGGTGTGGATTACACCAGGATTCACACCTGTGTGTGCGGGAATAATGAATGTTCAGCGAGCGAAGATACGGTTACAGAAGTGCGTTGCATAATGAAAATAGCATCTACAGGTCAAAGGCCACCGAGAGCAGAGGGAAAGAAACAAAGCATGCAGCGGATCTGGTTTCCATGAATACTCACGCTGAAAGCATTTCTAGCAGCTATGATAATAATAATAATAATAATATGTGTGTGTTATTCTGCAGGTCGTTCCTGGAAGCGATCAGCTTGTTTTGTACAGCGAGAGGACAAACAGCGGTGAAGAGCAAGACCTGAATACACATCAGCATGCACAAACACACACATGTGATGCTGCTGTGCATGTGAACACATGTGTGTGTGTGTGTGTGTGTGTGTGTGTGTGTGTGTGTGTGTGTGTGTGTGAGTGAGTGCATGTGAGTGAGTGTGTGTGTGCGTGTGAGTGAGTGAGTGTGAGAGAGAGAGAGAGAGAGAGAGAGAGAGTGTGAGTGCGTGTGAGTGAGAGTGTGTGTGAGTGAGTGCGTGTGAGTGCGTGCGTGTGCGTGCGAGTGTGTTTGAGTGTGTGTGTGTGCGTGTGTGTGTGTGTGAGTGAGTGTGTGTGTGTGAGTGAGTGCGTGAGTGTATGTGTGTGTGTGTGTGTGAGTGAGTGCATGTGTGAGTGAGTGCGCGTGTGTGTGAGTGCATGTGTGTGTGTGAGTGCGTGTGTGTGTGTGTGTGTGTGTGTGTGTGTGTGTGTGTGTGTGTGAGAGGGCG